CCGGGATCATGACCTGAGCCGAAGGCAGTTGCCCAACCAACTGAGCCACCCAGGCGCCCTGCATCTTATTTAAAAATACATAAATTGCTTCTCACCTCCCAGAGAATGTAAACTGTATATATTATGAAATTACTACAGCACTTCCTATGAATGTTATCTGTTCACAATTATGGTAAAAGAAATTCTGACATCTCTAAATTGTTCTACTACAATCTCTCATAATCTGTCTTAGCCTTCAAATTAATTTTTAAAAATCCTAATCTAATTTTTGAGGTTCAATGGTGGAAGAATAATAATATTTAAGTCGTTTGTCATTGTAACAATAAGGAGAATTCTACAACTTCAATTTTTCACCTGCAATGGTATTAATGATAAAACACTTCTTGTGAAACCAAGTTCCAGTTTTACAGATAATATTTTATCCAAACAAAAGTTAGCCACAGAGATTATTTCTACTTTAGTTCCTAACTAAGATCTTGTAAGTTTTGCCTATTATTCATAAAAATGGGAGACAGATGGCATAGCTGGGGAGTGTATAGTACCCCAGAGTTCTTAACAGTCATTCACTTTTTTCTTGTTTGTATCATCTTTCAAGTAAGTACAAACGGTGTTTAATTCAAAATAAAGCACTATTTAAAAAATTTTAGCATGTAACTAAAACAGTGTATAAATTTTCTAATGAAATTTAGTTTTTGAAATTGTACAAAAATCCCTAATCCATTCTAAAGCAGTAGCCTTCCGAAACTCTGATATGAAGAAATTACTCTATTAAATAGAAATGAAATGAACCCACCAGATTTCATAAATTTGAGTAAAATTGTGGCTACACTGGTTTAAAGCAAAATCAATATACTAACGAGTAACATTTGTGCATACGTCCTTTAATGAATACCTGTTGGAAACACACAAAGTGGCAGAAAAATCTCTTTAACAGAAGATACATGCAGTAGCCCCAAAACGTGTACTAGCAGCACCATAAGAATATACTATCTAAACCTTAAAAGAATTTAAATATAATCAGGCTTAAAAGAGCCTATTTTTCATGAATATAATCAAACTGTTATTAAAATTTATCAGTACAAAAATAGCTTCACAAATTACTAACGTATATATACCAGTTCTGGACTCTCCGAAATATGGTAACAGCAGTTATTTATCAATATATTATTGTATATGTGGGGGAGCATACATTTACGATGAACAAAATAAAAAGTTTTAGTTTTCAGTGTTACATTCTAACAGCACTGGGAAACTATAAAATTAACTATTTCCAAGAGAATTTTAGATAGTTTTAAATCTTAAAAAAAAAAAAAATCCTAGACTTTCTTATTATTAAGAACAAGTAATTTCCAAAATTCTATACAGCTGATATTATGACGCAAACAGTAAGTCCCTGGAATAAGAAAACAAAACCTTCCCCCATTTGTATATGCTGGTCTATTAGTATATAGCTACTTTATTTAGTACATAGCTAATCTAAGACTAAGGTCTCAAAGGATGCCCTGAACACTTCAGTGGGTCAGTGTATACCTGCTCAGTCCCAAAATGATTTTTATCATTTAGGTTAAAAAATAATTTTTTAAGAAAATATAGCAATTTAGATAAAATGTAATGTCATTTCTCCAAAGAAATTAGTAAACATTTTTATCTTCAATAATTCCCTCTTTTACATACTTCTAAAATTTTTTTAAGAGCATTTAAATAAATACACTAAAAACATTAATTTATTGAAACTAATTCAATGAGAGTGTTTTTGCACAGCTTATGGCAAGGACATAAAAACAGCACTTGACTAAGGAGTACTGAATAGCCCATACATTCTAAAATTTAGTTCAGCAGTGTAATTAAAAATCAAAGAAAAGAGTAAATAATTCAAGGTAACCCTATAATGCCACTGAGATAGAATATAAAAAGCTGTACTACCTTAGTAAATAAGTTTTTAAAAAGCTCAAAAGTAATTTTAAAAAGTATTTGTGGATGAGATTATATGTCTGGGATTTGCTTTCAAAATAATACAAAAGTGGAAGAGTGGGCAGGGGTAGAAATAAGACCGGCCATTTTTTCATAACTCTTGAAGCTGGGTAATGCATTCCTGGGAGTTTATCATAGTATTCTCTCATATATATTTGAAAATCTGTTTAAGTTTAAAGAGTAACAAAAAAAATCTTGCTTTTGTCTTTAAAGCTAGTACTTTTTAAAGAGTATGTGAAACAGAGTAAAGAACCAACTATAATGCAACTTCTAAAATTTTCAGGACCAAATGAAAATCAAGGCCTTCTTTTGGTATGTTAATTAATGAGTTCATGAGATTTAGGCACATGGTTTGAATTCTAAGAGCACAGATTGGCTTCCTAAGTGCTATTACTACCATCAACTCTTAATGAACTTGACTGACTAGGTCACTGTTCTCCATATCCTTCCTTCACGCAACCACAACACATAGATATTCTAGTGATTTTGCTCAACCAGAACAGAGAAATGTTGGCAAAATATATTTTTTTGTTCATTCTTTTCTGTTGAAATAAATACTAAGGAAGAAGGCAAAATAGTCTAAATAGCCTTAAAATACACAGATTTTGTCTTCCTTTGCCATTAAAAAAAAGAACAGCGTGTCAAGTTTAAACATTTACAAGTTTCAAATTTAAATAAAAATTATTTTAATATTCTTGCTGTTTCTAATTCATGAAACACTGAGCTTATTTCTACAGAGTTCTCCTAGGATAGGAAGTTATTAACTTCCTGACACTACCATGTACTTGTGATGGGAATTTGACTAAAATGCACTGTTAACTAACTGGCAGTATCTACTGGGGTCAAAATGTGAGCTGCAGCCCTACTCAAGTTTTTACTAATCAACTATGTGAGCCAGGACAACTCACCTAAGCTCTGGGATTTAGTCTCCTCACGTGTCGAAGGCACATGCTTTCAAACTTTGACGTTTTTACACTATAATCCAGCACACACACAAATCTATGTATTACTGAATGAAATAAAGTTTCTACTCCTAATGTGAATTTTACTCTGATGTTTCCTATTTTATGTTTAATTTTTCAGAATGCCACAGATAACCTAAATTGATTTCAAACTACTACAGTCCTGGCTTATACCATCTTTGAGGTCTCTTCTGTTATTTTGGGATTCTAACACTGGTTATAAAACACTGAATCTTCTATCTCAGATGGAAATCAAAACTAGTTCAGAAAATAAGTCTTCTGAAATCTTGTAAGCTAAAGTATTTTTAAAACAGTATAACAAGAAAACTATTAAGATTGTGCAACACCCTTAACATAATTAAAAGTTTAAAATGACCTGTTAAATTTTTTCAGAACTCAAATATCTCCATGACTAATCTATAGATTCTAGTAGTCAAAGAAGCTGTACCTTCAACTCAAAGTAAGTAACTCCTATTAGAATCCCAGGAAAAGAGAACATCAATAGAAGATGACTAGTCCCATTTAGTAACTCCAAATACTAAGGATTATCAAAACAACAAACATTCGGAGAATTTTAGGTGCATAAAGTAAATTAGAAATAGTTTTACAAATGTTAAACACAAAAGTTCTTCTTTTGAAATGCTATAGTATTCAATGCACATGGCTCATTTAAGTGTTAGCCAAAGAAATCAGATATATAATTATATTCAATGCATTTACATCTTTTAAATGGGTATGTTAAATTTAATAGGAATAAAATTTCTCCTTCCCTCAACATATTTTTTAAAAACTACAAATCTTCAATTGTAATCGCATATTCAAAAAACTTCTATGTTTTACTTATCAATGTGAACATTGTCTTCAGAGCAACTAATAAATTTTTTATGTGTTCAGTTATTTTGGTAGCAACAGAAAAGAGAATATGCTTACACTGCAATAGTTAAAGCATGATCTCCATGATAATTCTAAGATATGTCTACCGTTGTATGCAAAATTATTAGCATTTTTAGGAACAAAATTATAATGGTCTTTCAGTCAAAAAAGTTTTCCTAACACATTCCTTAAAAAACCCGTAACGAATTTCTTCTTCCTCAGCCTGATCATGAGGTCTCTCAATGTTATTCTCTAATATGTATAATCTATGCTGCCCCTAATATTCAACAAATTCAATCAAAATTAGAATGCTCATGAAAAAAGAGTCTGGAATATCTCCTTCACAATTGTTCTGAATATGCTAAAGAATTTGATGTTTTAAAAATTAGTTCTCAAAAGAGATGTACAAAATAGGAAAACTATTTATTTTCTCCATTTTAGTTAAAACTACCTAGTCAAAAGTTTCCAAAGAAGGATAAAAATTAACTTTAAGACAATAACTGATAGGTACCTGTTTATATTTGCAATGCTGCAGTTCCGCAGACCTCCCTACTTTCGAAAAATACCATCGATATGGCAAATAATTACTGTTAACTGGTTTAGAACATATTTAAGATAAATTGTATCTTTTGAAGTATCAAATTATTTTACAGTTCAGAATTACTAGAAGATTTATCTCCTGTTAGTTGGTATGAAAAACTAAATCTGACATTAACATGAATATAAGTTACAACAATAACTTGCTTCCTTCTGTGAAATCCAATGGTGAGATCACCTCTAAGAGTATGGTAAAGCTTGATTTCAGAGTAGGAAGCTGATTAAAAAAATTTATAACCCTCAAGAACAAAGGCGAAAGTGGAAACCCAGGTTAACAAAGGGGACTTTTGAGGGCTGTGTTAAAAAAATAAGTAGAAGAGATTTACAATAATACACTGTTTCACTGAAAAATGATTTGTACTGCAATTAACTCAGTAGCCCTTTTTCTACATGAAGGAAATGTACATTCTAGTCCATCTAGGCATCTATCAACTATAAATTATTTAAAAACCTTTCTGAGGTTAACAGAAACAGAAAAAAAAAAAAAAGACTGGAATTTTCACTCAGGGTTGTAACTTTGCAAGACTTATCTGAAACCAAGTAAGTTTCCATATCTACACATTTCACTTAATCATGATGGGTGAATTGAATCTGTACCTATGTGAAAAGGGCAATGCATTCTGAGTTGGTTCAGCCCTTGGCTCTGAGTTCTGTGTCACATCAGGCGTTCTTTCATCATCTGTTCCATTGATACTTTCTGGTGTTAAAGGAGACTGAAGATCCCCGCCTGCCGATTCCTTTAAAAAAAGGGGGTAGGGGATAAAAGTGTTACACTTTTGGTAAAATATACAAGATAATCTTAAAGTTAAAAGTGACTCCAATGTATGCTTACTTATAAACTATATTTCCATTGAAATTTGAGTCAAAGAGGTAAAAAATAAAATTTAAAGGAGAAATAATTTTTTAAAGCAAAGCAACTCCTAAGAAAACTATCCACAACAATACAATTCAGAAATGCAGTTTCAAAGAACTCAAGAACTTTGCGGTTTATATAAGCAACTAATTGGTTAGAATAAAAGATATTCAAAGAATTACTTAAGAAAAAGAAGCACAAAAATGCAAGAAAATGTGATTTTACTTGGGAAGGTAAGAAGGCAAAGGGAAGAATGAAATCTTCAACAAGTTTTAATTTTTTTTACTCACCCTACTTTTAAATGCCAGAGTTATCTACAAAAGCATCCAGAAATCCCTCTGTAACATACACAGAGGGAGTGTGTTTCAGCTTGCCTGAATAATGGAATTATTTTTCTTCACAAAATTTCCTGTCTTATTTCTACTTTTAATTAAGTTTTGCCTATCAAGGTGAATTTAATTTGTTCCTCTAGAAAATAAATGGAATATTAAAATGAAGCTCAAGCTGACACTTATTATTGTGACTGGCATCATAAGATTATCTGAATTTGGTATTAGTAGAGATCAGAACTGGGGGGTCATTGGATAAACCTGTTAACCAGGGGAGGCCCTCGCACCAGATCATTTAAGTGAAGCTTTGTGGACGCCTTGTGATCTCTGGGCCTAAAACTTCACAACTGAAATACTAGCCTATGGTAAGGAAGAAAAGGAAAACATCAGTGTCCAATAGGAGAGTGGGTGGGTATGGTCATAATCTGCCAACCTGAAAGAATACAGGATTTCTTCAAATAAAAATAAGAGGAGTGCCTGGCTGGCTCAGCTGGTGGAGCATGCGACTCTTGATCTCAAGGTTGTGAGTTCGAGCCCCACACGGGGGATAGAGCTTACTTTAAAAAAAAAAACAAACAAAAAACCAACAAGAAAAATATGTGTAACACAGGAAAATGCTTATAATTAGAAAAATATGAGCATATAAGGAGATATCTTAGATTATGATAATTTATATACTTTACATAAAAATAAGGCACAAGGAGAAATGCTAGGAAGAAATATAGAAAATATTAATGTGGTGAATTTCTTTCAGGGGCTTCTGGTTTTAAATTGTATGTATTTTATTTCACATTTAAATATTTTAACTAATACTATAATGCTATAAATTATACAAGCTATTAAAGGTCAAAAAAGCTACTTTCTTGATTCCACCTTATCACTTAACTATTGTTCAATTATTAATGGAACCTCTATTTTGACCTTTAATTTTTTTCTTTTAAAATCTCTCTTGGGCGCCTGGGTGGCTCAGTTGGTTAAGCGACTGCCTTCGGCTCAGGTCATGATCCTGGAGTCCCGGGATCGAGTCCCACATCGGGCTCCCCATTCAGCAGGGGAGTCTG